CCCAGATACTTGAGGAGGGCTGGCTCGTAATCGTCAATCGGGGTCGCAGGAGGATCGGGGTAGGCGGCACGAAATTGGGAATAGCGGGTCTGGCGGTTGTGAACGTAACTGAGCAGATCAAAGTAATGGTCGAGGAAGTCTATGCAAAGCAACAAACATATTAGCACTTGAGACCAATCGGACATGTATGCGCAGTCGTCACACTGGAAATGAACTTACATAGTTGAGTCACGTTGACCAATCGCTTGACTCTGGGACTCTGCAGCTTCTCCATCTCTTCTGGCGTCAAGCCACGCATCTGAACCTGGCGCCTCTGGAGAGTGTCCAGATCTCTCTGCTGATATGGCTCATGACGAGAAATTGCGGCGGCGGTGGGATTGGGGCCTAGATCCTTGGCTATTTTGAGAGGACTTGGGGTGGTGTTTTCTTTGTTCGATTTGCGCGTGGGACTTCCTGGTGACTGGCGGATGACACTCTCGCTGAAGTCGTCTATTGCTCCCTTCGGGGGAGCAAACATGGGATGGTTGTAATGGTTGAAGGTGTTCTTGGTGGGAGAGGAGGGAGTGAGCTTCATCGCTTTTTCGAAGACATTCGGTAGGTCAATGGCGCCAGGAGGCATTCTGTTCTTGCTGGGACTGCCCTGCGGGGTTTGGGCAGGACTGGTGAAGCCATTGTCTGCGGGTGTCGAGGGGCGATCGAAAGGCTCATTGCCCGATCGGGTATGCAACAGAGGAGGGGGATTTGGAAGACGCAGACCGTGACGCTCTGGCGATTCACGAGGGGTATCGAGGGTCATCATGGCCGCAAAGTGTCGCCAAGCGAGTATGGAGGCCGGAGAAAAAAGAAAAGGAAAGAGAGAGAGGAGGGAGAAAAGTCAACCAGTATCAGAGGGAAATGTGCCCAATTGATCTCTGGACGTGGCTAAGGCGATAAGGGCGAGGCGAGACTCCTCCGCCAACGGGGTAGACTAAAGCCCAGTATGGCAGCTATCAGTCTTGGTTGGTGGGGAAGAAGGAAGCTAAGGTAGTCGGGCAGTCGTAGTTTGGGAGGAATCTAGTCAGGAGTCAAAGGAACCAGAAGAGAGAGAAGCTGCAAATGTTTGTGGAAGTATAGCGTAAAGGAAGAAGCAAAGGGATGATAGACAGGAACAGGAAGGAGAAGAGTGTCAAAGGCAAGAAATGAGCCACTTCCGGGGAGAGCTTCGGTCGGGAGTCAAGTGGAGGGAATAATGGCTTTGTTTCTTTTTTTATTTAGTGGGGGAGTCAAGAAGGACGAGGAAAAGAAGGAGGGAAGAAAGGGGAGCGACAACAAGAGTCAGACAAGAAAACGTGATTCACCCTTCGCCCCCGTTTTGAAAGGATCGTGAATGTCTGCTGCACCTGATTCAGCTCTGGACTGCTGATGATGCTTCAGCTGAACCGAAACAGATCTCATCGCATCCTGCTCCTTCGTCATCCCCAGGAACATGAATGATTAACAGCCAGCCACTCATCCACCTGGATTTCTCTAGCCAACGAAAAGCTTCGGAGTTGAAGAGATCAGCTCGATCCGTCCCCCTCTTCCTGTTCTAGCATAGCAGTTGCCCCGGTAACTCCCTTGTCCATGGCATAAGGCTACGATCCATTTTCGATACGGGATACGACGAGCAAGATTTAGCGATTAACCCCTGCCTTGAATCAAGGGGCCACGAGTTTATCGGAGTCGCTCATGCTTGTGATTGGAGTGCTGGAAGATTTGAGATCAGAATGGATATGGCGTCTCCAGTCTCGGAGTTTAAAATCTGACGGCTTATCTGCGTGCTACGGAGCGCCAGGATCTGTCCGACATTAACAATACGGGTCGTCCTGCAAGTCATTCTCTGATTGTTGGGCTGGATCGACGATGGACAAAGTCTGGATAAGATCTGATCGGACTTGGACTTTCATCCGGCAGCTTGTGATGTCTCAATGGCTTTGTTTATCCTCGCTTGCCTATCCATTATTATCATAATTGCCGAGACAATCACATTCCTATGCCAGTGAGACGTCAGTTGCCATTACTCCGTACCTAGACTTAGGCTCGTCCAAGAATGAATGGCATTCCAACAGGTTTTGCACAAGAAATCAGCCCGTGCGACGCTTACCCTTGTTTACATGAGGTACATAGCATAAGCAAATTACTCTTTTGAGAAGGGCAGTTCCATGGTTCTGCACTCACTAGAAGCTGGACTAGTGGTACAGCGGGATATTACATTTACCACAGACCCCAGGAAAACATGGAAGAATCCCGTCGCCCCAGAGGCTCGAGAGCCTCGACACTAGGCAGCTATTTGGGATCTTTTGATTCCATTGATTATTCAAGGTGGTCGATGACGTGATATATCTACTCAGGTAATTTCACCCCCACCAAATACACCTGATCCATCCATCCATCATAGGATCAATCTAGGCACCTCCCTGCTTCCTCTGTCCAGTCTACAAAGACGGCAGTTAGTAACTATCTAATAGCACCTCAACCCAACGGAAAGAAACTCACATAAAATGCCAACCCATACGTTTCCGTCGTAAACGTAATCTTCGCCCCCTTGGGAAAATAAAAAACATCCCCCGGCAAAGCCGTTACCTTCTGCCCCGTCTCATCCGCAATCTCAAACTGCCCCTCGAGAATGATCTTCATCTCGTCGTAGGTATATTCATATACCAAGGGAGTGCCTTTTTCCAGCCGGTAGAAGCCAGCCGAGATGGGCTTGTCGGGGTTCTCTTTCTCGCTTGCGGAAGAGTTCATGTTAGTTTCGGTGGTGGGAGTCGGTAGATTCAAAATACCTCGAGTATACATCGCCTAGGAAGGCATTCTCGTTTGCGATCAGGGGTGGCTTAAACGTGGATTGGGCTTTGGCGTGATATCTGAACGGGACGGCCATTTTGTATGGATGGGAGTTATGTATAGATGAGAGGTGTGTTTATTCTATACTCCGTATGTAGAGACATTCAAATCGTTGATTTTCAGTTCTGATATCGCAATATATATGGGATCATGTATATTTCCAATCCATTGTCCCCAAAGTTCCATCCTCCCTCTACATGGATAGAATAGCGTAGCAATGCGAACAAACGGATCCAGTTACCACACTGGGAGGCCAGCAGTAACTCTTCACGAAACCCCAGATCTACCGAAGTGCGATCGGATATGATTCCTCCAGTTAGTTAGTTATTCATCTCGACGTACGGAGTACTCCAGCGGAGATACTCCATGCGTGAGGGTGAGGGGTCGAGGGATGAGGGGTATTCCTTAGCTATCAGTATCTTAATTGTTCTCGGTACTTATCAGTAACCGTATAGTCAACTGTCAACGTACGGTAATGGGACAGCCTGAGGTCTAAGGTACCAAGGTACCTTACCTTTCAAGGGAGGTATAACCAACGTCGCAGCCTATGAATTACCGTACCAGAAACACGGTAATGTAGGCTACGGACCATACTCCATAGTCCTGGACAATTTTGCCTGGATTGGTTAGTCTTTCCTCCCCAAATGCCTAGGTATCTGCGGAGCACTCACTCCCTGATAACATCATCCATGGAGCATATCCCTCATCCAGCAATCAGCGAATGGAATGGCAATATGCAGTCATCCCAAAGGCTACTGATGTCGCCTAATCCCCTCAAACCTACCAGAAAGTCCAGGGACTGCATCCTGCCTTATCCGTCCATATGCCTTAGGAAAACGAATTACGAACCTGGGGATACTCAGCTTGCTTTGTCTTTACCCCGCCGACCAAGATGGGATTCAAGAACCCAAACTGAACCAACCATCCTGCGTGCAACCATGCAAATCACTTCTCCCTTAGTCGTGGAACTGTCTTAGTCAGACCAACCTGTCATCAATCATCAACTAATGGCAGACCCGGAAAATGACACCATATATCGCTACCTACTTGAGACTAGTTGGGATTTGCTCAGTGGTTTGGACGATCATTGAAAAGAAGGATCTTCCCCCATTTTCTCTTGGGGAGTCTCTTATGTTTGCCTACTTCTGTCTATCTGACTAATACCAACTACCGGTAGAGAAACGACCGCCCTATGTGAGAGTCCCAGAGTCCCTCGACAGAGCATAAATGCAATCTTCGATCTTCAGTGTCAGCAGCAAGAAGTGACGGTCGAAGAGATATCTCTCGCGGCCATTTTTGGTGCCTCTATAGTCCGCTTCAGTGACCAACTGGAGGCCAGCTGTTATATATATACCAACAGGTTCGTGGAATGGATACTTCTTGAATCCTACCAGAGCTAAGTCATCTTCGTTTAGAGAAAGCAAATTCAATCCTGCATATGAATCAGAGCCGAGTCTTCTTCCTTCACAATTCGCGTCCTGGTAGGAAAGAAAGTCCGTGAGCAAATTGTCTCATGCTCATTTAGCCCATGCGCCAAACCATTGCATAAGCAAATCCGGAGCAGCTGTTCAAAAGACCTTGTTCCCTAAGCGACATCTTTGGAAAGACGATCCCAACTTGGACCCTCTTGTGGTTGCCCCAACGCAATCAAATCACCAAAACAAGGCCAAGTCCGTATAGCATTCAGTACATGAACCGCAAGCAAAGCCGTTGCAACCACCTCTGAACGCCATGCTAATCAAGTAGAAGGAAAGTCCGTAACCCAACCGCAACTTGACATCAATTCCAAGTCCATCCTACCGCGACCGAACCCCAGTCACTGACGATTTCAACAAGTATATGCCTGTCTCTTTCGTCGGAATGTCAACCGTCAAGATCACCAGCGACCTCGAGTCATATCTGGCTTCACTCCGAAGGTATCTAGCCAGCGATGACTTCGCCGCATCTCGACTTGAGGACAAAGAGAATGAAGGCCTCTCAAAATCAGGCCAGCCGCCTGTGACATTGCAACAGTCCCAAAAGCCACGAGAATGCAGGCCATATGAACAAGTCCGTCTCAAGGGCTCAGCTGCAAACAAGAATATGTCCCATCCTCGGTAGAAAATCGCGCCCATCAACTTGCGGTCCCGTTATTTCCTTTATCCCAGAAACACTGCAAAAAACACAGTCCAAACTCAGCTCAGGTACCGGAGAATGAAGTACAACGCAGACCGTCAAACGGACAAAGATAAAGACTCACCTTCCCATCCCCATTCTTGCATAACACTGACCCAATGTAATTTACCTCTAACTGTCTTCTCGAACTCGATGTTTTCCAATGGCGACACAGCCGAGCTTCTTCGAGCGCCTACGAATGGGGGTCTAGACGATACTGCTGAGTCGGAAGAAATGGTGAAACTGCTGATGAATCGTTCCTTCGTTTCCTGAGATGTTAAACCCGGACCGCCTTTGCTCTGGAAATTGGAGCTGTTGAGCACTCGCTCCCTGCGTCGCTGCTTTTCTGCCTCGGTGATGTCACGGCGAGACCAAACTTCCTGAACTACTTCAATACATCGATCGATGGACCCTATCATGAGACGAGACTGGATCGCTCTCCATCGACTCAAAACCCACTGGCGATCCTCTCCTGGTTCGGCCTCGCATCCAGCTGCTATCAGAGGGAACATCTGAACAATCGTCGTCCGGGAACCCGAAGGAACAGTAGCCAGCAGTATCAATACACGCTTGGCCAGGTCACTAGCTGGCTCTGAGGGCATTTCTGGCACTGCTTGATGAAGATACAACAAAGTGGCCCAACGATAGGCGTGTGCCGTCTGGATACTGTGCTGTACTTCGGATGTTGGATCCTCCGGCGGCACGAACCACTCCGGTGGTTCCCATTGCTCAATAAGTCTTTTTAGCTCGATAGCCTGAGAGACAAGAGAAATTGAATTTGATTCCGTCTTCCGAACCCGTTGGATCAGTCTGGCGACCTGGTTGATGAGTGGAAAGAGTGTAGTGGCGCAGCCCATCAAAGGGTCAATCTCATGAACTGCATCCCGGGGCAGCTGGAAGATGGAGACATTCATATCCTGATCTCCCTCGTCGTCCCGAGAGGTTAAGCGTGCGATCGCGTCCATATACAACCAGGTGTTGTATAGAAACCGGATTCTCTCGATGTCGTTTGCATCCCGAACCTTAGACCTCAGGACCTGCAATACGAGTGCCTTGGCCCCGCGTACATGCTGGATACAGTTACGGGTGTGTTGATCCCATGTGTCCGCGAATGCCAGCGCCAAGCTCGTAGCTAAGGCAGCATCTGCCCGCATGTTCTGTATATCTTGGACCATGTAAGTAATGCTTCTTCTCATATGATCAACGCCGTGCATTCTTAGGCCCGGATTGTCCTTGCTTGAATGGAAAGCCGTCATAGAGAATATCGCATGATATAAGGCTGGAGTCTCTGCGGCCAGAGGCCATATCAGAGTCCTCCAGGGGTTTTCATTTACCCCATCCTTGACAGACAAAATCCCGCAAGTGAATCTGTCGAATTGCAGTGCCAACATTTCGGGACTGGCAATATCGAATTTTGGCTCCTTGGTCAGCATAGCGGGGGTATTCGACGTCTCTGACGACGCCCCGCCATCGGAAAATCCTACCAGCCACGGATCAATATACTCATCGGACTGGCGGGCTATTTCTTCTATTTTATCATTGTCCTCTCCAAGAAGTGCTGCAAAGCTCAAGTTGCCCGATCGAAGAGTTGTGTTCTGCGAAGCCAGCCCCAGTGGCCTTCGTATTGGGCTCGTATGGATATCCAGAGCGGAGGGTACAATATCGGAGAGCCGTGGAGACTGCTCCAGTGGTGAACTATCTGCGAAAAACGGCGCGAAGAGCTCATCTTCTGCTTTACTGAAGTCCAGGAAACGAGCTATGCCACCGTTCCGAGATGCGAGGTTTTCCTGTGTCGATGCAAGTGGTGAATCAGTGGAAGGCGAATTCCCTGACTGGATTGTATGAATGGGTGCAACATCATTCGATTCCAGAGAGGATGCTGTCGGTGTGGACGATCGAGCGCTAACCGGCCAAGGTTGACGATCCTTACCCGCCTGCACTGAACGACTGGCCCTCCTTTCTTTGCCTGATGTGGCCGGATCACCTGAGAGATGTTAGTGGTGGCTAGAAAACGCAGACCCTTGCAAACCTGCACACTTACTCTTCCTGGCTTGAATAGAAGAAATCCTGCTGACCACGTTGGTTTCTTCGAATGGACGCCATTTAAAGTCCTTTTTGTAACCTCCACACTCCACGTTGCGCTTCTTGCATTGGAGACAGGTCGGCTTCGATTCGTCACATTTTAGTCTCTTTGCCTTGCAGGTAATGCAGCCTAATGTACGGTGAAAAGGAAATGGAGTCAGCGGTCTGCGCAATTCTTTTCGTTGGATGTATGTGAGCGGTTTACACCGATCCGACATCGAGATCTGATTTCTTTAACAGTTAATAGGAATGAACTTTACCATTTCGACTTTTAGATTGCTTGGGCTTGTTAGTGACGACTCCTCTTGTAGCTTGATTAGGTGGTGGGCTTCTTTTTATAGAAGATGACGAATCAAAGGTCCCGGCAGACGAAGGAATGGTAGGAGTAGTGTCTAGAATTGTCGAAGGTGATGGGATTTTGATGTTGTCCATACCGCTCAGGGTAATGACTATAAGGACTTGGACGATATGGGGACTGCCATCCACTGCAGGAGACAGATATCCAAATAAGAAAGCAGGGACAAGAATGAGAGAGGGAAGAATAACGATGAATTATGATTCCAGAGTAGGCGGCAAAAGCAATAGATAAGCCATAACATCCGTATCTGTCAAATCGAAAGGAGGGCCAGAGAATAGCTTGCTATCACTTGAGAAACGACAGATAAACTACGGCCTCGAGAGAAACCCGAGCCGTGAGGAGAAACGCATCCGGATGATAAGGATTGCACTAAACGTGCAGATTGCGGGGGCGACTTGCTGGAGTGAGTTTGAGGACGCAGATTCGGCGATCAGACTCGATAAGCCACTGTTAAACTGGACGCAGACAACAACCGGTAACCTTCTGTTAGAAATAGACAGGAGAAGCTCACGGTAGGTTGGAGCTGTTGAAGTAACTCCATTCAGTCTGTTGCTCATTGTGAAGCTCAGAAAGAAGCAAATCAACTCCCCTCTGCATCATTGGGCCAGCTCAACTGGGCCAGTTACTGCCTAGACGGAAGTGTGGAATACCAGCCGTGATTATGACGAGGCCCAATCATCGTGAAAGAGATGGTACAAAGGAGAGCGCCACTCGGAGGGAGAAGAAGGTTGAGGTATGACAGCAAGTCCAAGTTCGAAGAGTTGGAGATGGTCAACTTTCTTGGCCTTGCCTGTTCGAGAGTGGCTCGTGTGAGGTAATCCTTGGGCTCTTATTCGATGCTCTCTTCCCTTCACCAGTTGTTGATGGGTTATTACACTTTTACCCCTCATGATATCCTTAGGTTTTTAGGCACGACTCCGCACTTTTCTCAGGCTGTTGCCATAGAAGAGCTGCTTGGGTAGAGAGATTATCTATTTGAGTTGGAAAGAACGTATTCCCTCTATATTCAAACTCTACCTCCTTATACGCCATACTTGAGACGGCTGGATACAGGAAGTAATTGAGCAGCAGATCATCGAAATATCTGTCGCTTAAGATTCGACGAGTATGAATCAAGCCCAATAATTGAGTACCTTAGACATAAGACTCTCCTATCTCTTTTCTTCAATCACAGTTCCGCTGAATTGATGATTTGGGAGTGGAGACTGACAAGTATGAATGGTTTCAAAAATGATCCATTATCTCATTCACTCAAGCCCAAAGCAAATAACAGTGAATGATGTATGAAGCACTCAGCGGGCTGTATATATACTGTCGTTCCTTCAAAAATATGGCCTCTTCCACACCAGTGGTAAACAGTCAGCAATATGCCCAAATACGCAAACCTGCGGGATAGAGTCTCGTTCCCTAAAGTCCTTGACCTGCCGGATTACCAGATCTATGACCCAGAGCACTATAAACATGTCAGTGACCAGGTGATCGAACCACGAAGGCATTGGTGTCTACTCGCGGAGATTATTAAGATTAATAAAGGCTCTCCACTCAAACTCATGGCTCGCAGTCTCTACAACGAGGAACCCTTTCATATCGTTTTTCATACTCACGATTTAGGAGACTCGTTTGTGACGCCTGACCTGAAGCTCGAACGTACGGTTGCCATCATGTATGCTCGAAAGCTTATCTCACGTGGGAAGTCAATCAATGTTATTGTGACGGACCATTACTCGATCAAGGTAAGAACAGCCTGTGCTGGAATTCCTTCCAGGCGATTTCCTCCTTCCGACAATGTGCTGAACGGAAACCAGCTCATACCTTTATCCCTGCACGACTTGCTCCGACTAAATGATCAGGTCCAAATATGGCCAAGGAGCTTTGCAAAGCACAAAAGCTGTCACTGTTGTGGCGAAAAAGCATCACTGGAATGCCAATGGTGCGGCATTATATCGTACTGTAGTGAGGTGAGGACCGATGCAACCGCCTCGTGAGGGCTTGAGTTGCATTGATTATATCATAGACTTGCCAGATGGACGATCAGAAGAGGGGACATGACAGGTACTGCAAGATCATCCGGGACAGACACTTTCAAGAAATGTGGATGTTGGATTGGCAGCGGTTCAGGAACTTCCTGACGTTTCCCTGCGCAGCCAATGAGCCTGACATCTCGATGGCAGTGAAGCAGAATCATTAAGAAAACATCAGAGCACATCGGTCCATGTGTGGGAACGGCGTGCCAGGGGATTTCGTATACGGAACTCAATGCTGCTGGTCAAGGTGCAAAGATAACCTAGGCTAAGGCTTCGCTGTGAAGAGATGGCTTCTTGGTCGCTATCCACTTGAGAAGCTTTTGTGTACACAAGAAAAATCCCCTACCCAAGCTCAAGGAAACTTATCAACCTAAATTCAAGGACCTGTTGGTTTGAACGTCTCGTCATTATTGAGAATAACCTGCGAAATGCGGAAAAAGGAAAGACAAATGGGCGACATCGGCCCGCGGGGAATCCGCTGTAGGGCCAAACGGCTGTTGCGGGCCCCCAGACCGAGGTTGGCTGATCGGTCCAATGGCGGGGCCGCTGGCAATCCCTCCCAAAAGGCTTAGGCTCCCCAAAATCCTCCCCATAACACCACCCTCATCTATCCATCATTTCTACTTTTCTCTTGTTCTCCTCATGTTCATACCGGAATTTCAATTTGGACTGTGAAGATGTTTCGGTCAGTTCCTCGTCGGATTCCTCGACGCCTCCCTACTCTCTCTTCGACTGCCGGCAGTCCCTCTCGTCTCGCCCTGCGTTCGTTCACATGCGGTTATCCGCGGATGTCATCATCTCCGCTGCCGACCGTCGAGCCTCCCGTTTCGACGACCTTGCCATCAGACTCATTTCAGTTGCTGTCAACAACTGAGAAGGCCGGGGCTGCGGAGGATGCGCTTTATGAGCAACAAGTTAAAGATGTAGAGACCTGGTGGAAATCTCCGCGGTTCGAGGGTATCAAGAGACCGTACTCGGCCGCGGATGTTGTCAGCAAACGTGGCACTTTACAGCAGACATATCCGAGCTCTCTAATGGCTCGTAAGCTCTTCAATCTGTTAAATGAAAGAGCAGCAGAGGGAAAGCCAGTTCATACCAGTATGTAGGACCTTTATCGGGATTAATGGTCCTAGACTAATACTTGCGAAGTGGGTGCAATCGATCCCGTACAAATGACACAGCAAGCTCCAAACCAGGAGGTGCTATACATCTCAGGGTGGGCGTGCTCCTCCCTCTTGACTACAACGAATGAGGTTTCTCCGGACTTCGGCGACTACCCGTACAATACCGTCCCCAACCAGGTACAGCGATTGTTCAAGGCGCAACAAATGCATGATCGCAAACAATGGGATGCCAGGCGAAAAATGACCCCGGAACAGCGAAAGTCGACCCCTTATGTTGACTACATGAGACCCATCGTAGCAGATGGCGATACCGGGTGCGCTTCATCACCATGCTGCATTTGATGATCCACGAACTGACAGCCTTCCTTCTACAGACATGGCGGTCTTTCCGCGGTCCTCAAGTTGGCCAAGCTTTTCGCGGAGAACGGTGCTGCGGCTGTTCATTTCGAAGATCAGCTGCATGGCGGCAAGAAGTGCGGTCATCTAGCTGGGAAAGTCATTGTGCCTATTGGAGAACACATCAACAGATTGGTCGCCGCTCGTTTCCAATGGGACATGATGGGGGTCGAGAATCTGGTGATTGCTCGAACGGATTCTGAGAGTGGGAAGTTGATTAGCAGTGCCATCGACGTGCGTGATCACGAGTTCATCCTCGGTGTTGCGGAGGAGGTCGAGCCTTTGGCGGAGACTCTACAGGCAATGGAGCGCGAAGGTGCTGCGCCTGCAGAGGTCGATGCATTTGAGTTGGAGTGGGTCAAGAAACACAAGCTTGTCACATTTGATGAAGGTATATCGATTCTCATTATCTCAGTTCTGCAAGAGTAGAAGCTAATGATGGGCTAGCTGTCGACGCACATCTTGAAGCCGAAGGAGCGCCCCAGTCTGCCCGTGATGCATACAAGAAGAAGGTCCAAGCGAACCCTGACCTGTCTATCTCGCGTCGCCGAGCTCTGGCGAGCGACTACACAAAGAAACCTGTTGTCTGGTCCTGTGACAGCCCCAGAACCAGGGAGGGATTCTACCACTACCGTGCCGGTTTTCCGGCAGCGACAAAGCGAGCCAAGGAATTCGCCCCTTATGCAGACCTCTTGTGGGTTGAAACCGGCGATCCCAATGTCGAGAAGGCTGGAAAACTAGCAAGCGAAGTTCGCGCCGCATACCCCGGGAAGAAATTGGTCTACAACCTTAGCCCGTCATTCAACTGGATGGGCCAGGGCTTTGACGAGGCGTCTCTCAAGTCTTTTGTCTGGGATCTCGCCAAGCACGGGTGAGTTGAAGAGCCATCATTTCTTATGCGCGGCAGAAACTGACAATTGTAATAGCTTTGTTCTGCAACTCATCTCCCTTGCCGGTCTGCACAGCAATGCCACAATCACGACCGAACTTTCGCGCGCCTTCAAGGATGAGGGCATGCTCGCTTACGTGCGGCTGATCCAGTCCCGCGAGAAAGAACTCGGCGTCGAGGTCCTCACCCACCAGAAATGGAGCGGTGCACCATACATGGACGGCATCCTGGGCGCCATCCAGAGCGGCAGTAGCAGCAGCAAGAGCATGGGGGAGGGAAACACTGAGAAGGGTAAGCTATCTGTCCTCTTCGACTTGCTAGCAATCAACGCTAATAATCCAAATTACAGGCTTCTAAACATATACCCCATCATGACCGGATAACAACAATGCTAAGCGACTTGCTTGACAGCTGTAGAAATAAAAAT